TCCATCCACCCACCCGTGTGTCTCTCCGTCCATCCACCCACCCGTGTGTCTCTCCGTCCATCCACCCACCCGTGTTTCACTCAGTCCATCCACCCACCCGTGTGTCTCTCAGTCCATCCACCCAGCCTTGTGTCTCTGTCCATCCACCAACCCGTGTGTCTCTGTCCATCCACCAACCCGTGTGTCTCTGTCCATCCACCCACCTGTGTGTCTCTGTCCATGCACCCATCCACACACACACTCTCCCATCATCTGTCAGTCAAGCCGTCTCCTAGCAGCGGTGCCTGCTGCCAGCTGCTCCTGCCCCAACTCCCTGCACCCTGCGGCCAGGGTGGGTGCTCCACACATGCACTTCCCACAGGGTCCCTCGGCTCTCACAGTGAGCCCCAGACTCACCCCCCTGGCTCCCCAGGCCGGCCACACCCAGCCCACGGCCTTCCCTCACCGCCCCAGCCTGGCCACGTGGCCCATGTCTCTGTGCAGACTCTGCTCACACCTGGGGGGCCCTCATGTGTCACATGTCCATCCCTAAGAGCCCGACAGTTCCCCATCCTGGGGGGCCAGCTTTCACGGCAACTGCAAACACAACCTGGGCTCTTCTCCAACACCCCCCCCAACACTGTCCACCAGCAAAGCAGACGTCTCGGAACTTGACCTAGCCCTTGACTCGTAATAAAGTAGCTGCCATTTTTAGTACATTTGTGCCGACGCAGCTCTGAGCACCTCTCGGGGGCCGAGGTGACCTCGTTTCCCTGTCTGAGCTTTGTGCTCATGTCCCTGTTTCACAGACGCGGGGCACAGCTGTGGGCCACGGCAGTGGGGCCTGACCCCTCGGAGGGGCCGTGCACCTGTGCCAGCATCTGAGGCGGCAGCCCCTCCTCCCCCGGGGGCGTGCAGCACCTCCGCCGGCGCAGACTCAGCACGACAGCACAGCGCGCTGGCTTCAGTTCTGAGAACTGCCTGAATAATTCATCAGCCAACCGAGAGGGGCGCCGAGGAGGGAGGAGGTGCAGCCCTCGAGTCCCTCGAGCTCAGCCCACAGCCAGACTGCCGCTGCCACAAACTGACCTGACGCTGGCGGCTGCACCGCGTCACTCTCAGACAGAAGCAATCTCACGGACGTCCGTGCCAAACGCGGCACTCTGGGACCGCGAGAAAGCATAGGCAAAGGCCGGGCGCGGTGGCTCAAGCCTGTAATCCTAGCACTCTGGGAGGCCGAGGTGGGCGGATTGCTTGAGGTCAGGAGTTCAAGACCAGCCTGAGCAAGAGTGAGACCCCATCTCTACTATAAATAGAAAGAAATGAATTGGCCAACTAGTATATATAGAAAAAATTATCTGGGCATGGTGGCTCATGCCTGTAGTTCCAGCTACTCGGGAGGCTGAGGCAGGAGGATCGCTTGAGCCCAGGAGTTGCAGGTTGCTGTGAGCTAGGCTGACGCCACGGCACTCACTCTAGCCTGGGCAACAGAGCAAGACTCTGTCTCAAAAGAAAAAAAAAAAGCACAGGCAAAAGCAAGGTCACCGTGCCACCCCCAAATCACCAGGGCATGGAAGCCCTGCTTCCTGATCGGCCATGCAGGGCCCACATCCCGTGGGAGGTCCTCTGACGCCCGTGGACCCGTGTGCTGTCTGCCTCGGCCAACTGGGCTGCGCCCTGCGGTCTGCGGCAGTGGGAGCCGACCACCCGCAGGGTCCAAACCACACCCGGCAGAGCCGAGGCCGCGCACAGGCCGCCCTGAACATTGACCGGCTGCTAGAACCGCGTGTGGATTCCCAGAGCTGCACAAAACACAGACACGGATTGCTCTGCCCGCCCCAACCTGCCGTTGTTGGGGAAACGGAGGATGGAGAGGCCCCTGTCTCCCCACAAAGAGCCCTGCTGGGCAGCGGAGGTCAGGGCACCGTGAGTGGGCGGGGTTCGGAGGTGGCCAGAACCAAGAACCGGTAGGTGCGGCGGGGGAGGGGCTCTTGGGGCCAGGTGAGCGCTTTGCAGGGAGCAGAGGGCTGACCCTCGACCCTACCCACCGACCCCTTCTGCAGGCTGGGGTCACGGCGGGGGCTGTGGGGCCCCCTGCAGAGCCCATGGGGCCACCCCAAATCTAACGCCTGGACTGGGCGATGGTTCCTTCTGAGGCTCTCCCCATACGCCCCCATTAATCCACCCGTGAGGCTGTGAGGCTGCACTGGACCCTGCCACCCGCCGCCAGCACCTGGCAGCCGCTGGAACCTGGGCGAGGCCCACCTGGGCTCTCAGGGCCGCCGTCTCCCTCCCTCACCTCCCCAGCACTGCCTCCCCTCCCCCCGGCCCAGCCGGCTCCCACTGCCTCGCTGAGCCCCGTGGTGTCCGCCCACCCCGCCAGGAGGTGTCCTGCCTGTGCCCCCAACCTCCGCATACTGCCTCCGCGCCGGGGTCTTCATTTAGGTCCCACATCCCGGTCCTGCCCGCCAGGCCACCGGCAGGTGAGTGGGGCCCGTCCGCCTCACCTTCTTGGTCCACTCGACGACGCTGCCCTCGGTGAAGGTCTCGAACATCTCCTGGAAGAACAGGCTCAGCTTCTGCTGGATCAGGGAGATGGTGATCTCGGAGATGGGCAGGCCGGCCACCTGGGCAATGACGTCCGCCACGCGGCCCGAGCCCTCCACGACCACGCAGGGGGTGCCGTGGGTGATGGCGTTGTAGATGGTCTGCAGGGCAGGGGCGGCGTGAGCGGGCGGGCCCCACCCTGCGCCCCCGGTGGGGAGAACCCCCGGTGCTCCGGGCGGCCATGCGCAGGCATCCCCGCGGGGGCCGTCACGGGTGCAGCAGCGTCGTGTCCACCGGGGGGAGAGGGAGCGGTCCCGGCACACTGCGGTGTGCGCCCGGCACTTAGATCCCAGCACCGCCGCAGCCAAAGGGTTCTCGGGTCTTTGACACAGCCCCTCGGGGTTGTGTCAAAGGGGAGCTGCCGGACCTGGGGTCCCTGGTCTCCATGAGGAGGGCCCTGGGCCCAGGAGGGGACTTGCCACGAGCCGTCCGGCAGGAGGGCGCGCCTGCCGAGCTGAGGGAGCCCGAGTGGCGCCCGCAGGGGCCCCTGCGCTCCAGGGAGTGGGGTCTCCCTCGCTGGGGACTCCCGCCCAGCCAGGAGCCCCCCGGCTCTGTTTTGCCCTCTGCAATAGTAAAACGCAAACAGGGACATTTCCTGCGATCCCACAAAGAAACACCCAAAGGCTTGCCCCAGAGCTGCGGGCTGTGACCTCATCACGCAACGCCCCTGTCGGAGGGGTCGGTGTGCTTTCACGTGTGGCGGCCGGGGCGCGGGGGGAAGGCCCTCGGAGCAGCGCCCGGAACCCCCAGCAAACCTGCTCCGATACAGCAGTGGCCCTGCGGGTCTGGGGCTGCACTGGGAGGGCTCCCTGGAGGAGCCAGGTGGCGGCGTCGCAGATACCACCTGGTTTCCCCTGGGGTCTTGGGGCAAAGGCCACCAGCCCTCCTTGGGGCCTACCTCGTCCTCATGGGCCAGGCCCACCCGTGCCGCCCCAGGGCCCATCCTGCAGGCCACTCCTCACGCCCCCGGGGAATGCCCTCTCTTGCCCATGATCCCGCCAGTGCGGTAAAGGCCAGTCGCCACACACCCCCACAGGACCCGCCCCCAGCGGCGCCCCGGCCGGGACTCACGTGCAGCGTGCCGGGGCCGCCCTCCAGCACCACGCAGACGATGGGGATCTTGATGGCCACGCCTAGACCAGGCACAGCGCGGTGAGGACGGGGCTCACCCTACACGGTGGGGGGCTCTTCCCTCCCGCAGCCCACGACGACCAGCCCGCTTTTCCCGGAACCTCCTCAGCGCCTCACTCCA